ATGTCATAGGGTGGGTGAGATTTCGTTAATAATGTATACTCTCTTTCGTTAATTGACTACTACATTTTAGGGGTGAGCAAATCGGGTACCCGGTCAAAATTTTAGGATCCGGACCCGGAATTGGTTGGGACCGGGTCCTAAAATTTGGAACCGGAATTGAAACCGGTACAACCGAGTCCTAAAATTTAGGAATTGGAATTGGTTACACCGGATACTGGTTCCGATTCCGGGTACCCACTTATATATATAAGTGTTGAAATATAATACAAATCATAATATTTTTTTTGGTTTATTTTTACTTTTAGCGTTTAATTCTTATATTTTTATATATATTAAGCTATTTTAATTATATTAAATATTAATATTTTTTATTTATTTTACTAATTAGTTACATTCAACATATTTTGTTTTTTTTAAAATATATTTTGTACAATATATGTTCGGTAACCGGTATAGTAGAGCATGAGAAAAATCTAGAAGTTTTAGGATTTTGTTTGATAGTGGGTTGAGAGTTGTATAAGCAATTAGGCTTAGAAATTAAAATGGGTTGTACATAACTCTTTAGTTTCTTAAAAACACAAACAATCCACATACTATATCATATACAACCGGATACCCAGTGGGTACCGAGTCCAAAATTTTAGGATTTGGAACCAGAACCGGTTACAACCGGGTTCGAAATTTTGGACCCAGTCCCGCAACCTGTGAAACCAATTCTGGGTCCGGACTCGGCGGATCCTAACCGGTTCCGAGTACCCTGGATCTTTGCTCACCTGTACATTTGCAAATGCATAAGCGATTGTTTATAACTTTGATTGTCTATTTGAAAAATTGATATTGCAAAACTATACCTTATCCATAATCCAATGTCATTTTACCTAATTTAATTCAATAATTTGTCTTATGTTTATTACGAAGTAATAAATTTTTTAGTCAATATTAGTATATTTTTCTTTATGTACTTCGTATAAATTATAAACAATGGTTTCAATCAAGTTTGTATATACTCCTTATTGTGAAAAGAAAAAAGTTAAATAACTTAGAGAAAAACAGAGGCATAATATAGTATTAATATTAATCATAATCCCTCCTTTTTATAAGGGTCATTAGTGATTTATAATGTCGGTACTAGTGGACCAAAAAAATGAGGTTTAGCTGCAATTTGGATTTCAAACCCACACCAAACCCAAATACAACAAAAGTATTTTTAAAAAATGTGAGGAAATTGTGTTGTAGTATTAGGCTGTAAGTTGCTTCCAATACTCTGGCTTCATCATTCATGGTTGTTTGCATGATTGGCGCGTGACACATCTTCTTATTTATTATAGCCAATGTTGTTTATTTAAGCTGTCATTTAAGATGCCAGTATATGCCACATAAATTTCTAAACATTGACAGTAAAAACATTAGGAAATTTACAATGTATGTTAGGAGCCCATCATCATTATAATTGGGTTCGTTTTAGTAATAAACTTTTAAAGTTGGGAAACTTTTAAAGTTAAGGTTATTCACATAATATACCCAAAAGATTTTTACTTGAGGATTAGAGAGAATATAGGGAATTATACGTTATGCATGCATAATATAATGGTGAATGTAACATGCATTTACTTAAGAATTAGAGAATATATATTATAAGGGTGAATTTGACATGCAACATATAAGGATGGCTCCAGTGGCGTATCCAGGAATTTCGAATTGTGGGTTCGAAATCTTAAAAAAAAAAAACGATGATCATATTTTGATTAAAAATTCAATACATAAATCAAACTTTTATCACGGATGAATTACACAATTAAAAAAATAAAAAAAAAACCTACAAAAGCATTCTTCGAGTTTTCCTACTTTGAAAGCGTGCTAATACATCATCATCACTAACTCTTGCAAATAAGTCTCTCTCAGGATAAGTAACTAAACTATCATTCAATAGTTGATCACCCGTACTATTCCGCAACTTATTTTTTACATAATACACAATTAATTATCAATTAAAATCACAAGTCCCCAATAAACACAAATTTGATAATATAAACTTCTTCTAATTATCAAATTTCAATTAACAGAACAAGTGAAAATTTTATTTCAAAAAAAAAAAAACAAGTAAATTTTTTTTAATTCTAACTTCTAAGTTTCTACAATTCAATTTCTCAACAATTCAAGAATTCAACAATATATCAAAACCATAAACCAATTTTAAAAATAAAACAAGCAAACCAAGATTAAGAATTAATAGGAGTAGAGGAATAAGAGATTAAGAGGACTCACAATTGTAGAAGAACTCTGAAGTCTGAATTCAGAACAGTCGTCCCTCGTCCGTGTCTCCGTCACTCCGTGAGGTCGTCAGTGCTCCCGGTCGTCGGTTGGTGTCTCGGTGTGCGGTGCCGCGGCGGCTAGTGGCTAGGGTCATAGGGTGTCAAGATTAGGGTTTTGGTGTTTGGGAATTTGGGGAAAATAAGAAATGTCGATGTTTGATTTCTGAAATCTGAAATTTGAATGTAAGGAGTAAAAGAACCAAAAAAAAAAAAAAAAAAAAAAAGTACAAAAAAAGAAGGCAATAGGAGTCGAACCTAAGACCTAAGACATTAAAAGGGCGCGTTGCTCTATTATTCAAAGCCTTACCAATGCACCAAACTTACCCATGTGATTATTATTCTCACAGAAATTTGTATTAACCCTTTTTCTTTTTTTTTTTTTAAAAAAAATTAACTTATAATTTTTTTCCAAAAAATCTGTGGGTTCAATGAACCCCCTTGAACCCCCCCTAGATCCGCCCCTGGATGGCTCACAACTTCACAAAACAACAGAGTATCGAAACTTTGGGAGTAGTAACATAGTTTACTCGAACATCTTTACTATAGTTTATTTTGTGGTGTATAAGAAGCGATAAATGATATCGAGCTTGTGATGTTGATGAAATTCAATTTAACCATGTCAGGTAATCAAAGAGATAAACTTTCTACACGCATTTACAAATCGCGTGAGTCCAACTGTTAAGTTTCGTTGACATTTCTTGTTGAAGGAAGAAAGAACCCTAAAACAGTGGCTTCAAGTTTTGGTCTTTTATTGCTCAAATAAATTAAATTCCCATTTCTTTATACTTTCTTCCTACCACCCAGATAACAAACCTCATTTTTATTTGTTGTCTTAAACAAAAAAAACTGTTTATTTTAGGGATTTGTTAAACATCGCCCGCGTTTTTCTACATAAAGCCCACATTTTTTAAAAATGTTGACATTATTGCCCTTGTTTTAATTTTTACCGAAAATAAAATTTTTCACTCATAAAAAATGTGGAGCAGGACTGGATCGCCGAGTGAAACCGAAGAGCCCTCAACGTCGGGTAGATGCACCGGAGAGACGCCGTTGACGCCGGAAAAGGAGGTACGATGCCATCTAAAACCACGAATTGGCGGCTGGCGTCCTGCCGGGACGCCGTGACCGTAGTGGTGGCGCCTAGCCAGGACGCCGCCACCGTAACTCTGGCGCCTGGCCAGGACGCCGCCACCGTGGCCGTGGCGTCTGGCCAAGAAGCCGCCGCCACGGTGGTGGCGTCCTGGCCAGGCGCCACCGCCACGGTGGCGGCGTCCTGGCTAGACGCCACCGCCACGGTGGCGGCGTCCTGGCTAGGCGCCACCACTATTTTTTTTTTTTTTTTTTTTTTAATTTAATTTAAAATTTGTTTATTTTTTTTTTTTTGTGTTACAATTTTTTTCTTTTTTTTTTGTTTTTTTTTTTTGTTTTGTTTTTAATTGTTTTAATTTGTTTTTGTTTTTAATTTATTTATTTTTTATTTTTTTTTTTTACAATTTTTTTCGTTTTATGTTTTTTTTTTGTTTTTTTTTTTTTGGTTTATTTTTATTTATTTAATCTAAAGTTTTGTTTATGTTTTTTATTTTTGTGTTTTGTTTTTTTTTTTTTTTTGAATACTTTTTGTTTATTTCTTTGTTTGTTGTTTATAATTTATTATTGTTTTTGCTTTTGTGCTAATGTTGTGTCAAATGTATTAATTGAATCTACTCTTATGTGATTATATTTATATGTTATTGTTGCAGGATTATGGTGGAGACGGAAATGATTATAGTGGGATTTTTGTACACGATGGTCTGTTCGAAGATGCTCAACAAGCGGTTGATTGGGCGAAACAGGTTGCAATTAGATCAGGTTTTTGTTTAGTAGTAGCAACTCATAAATCTCAACGGGATGGTAGAATGGATCGCATTTTGAGATGCGACCGTTATCGCAAAAGGGAGGAACGAGATTTCAGTCAAGCGATTCGGTTTGATACAAAGCGGAAAGGTTGTGGGTGTCAGTTCAGAGTAAAGGTTCGACAACAGCAAAGGGGTGACGGTTGGGAAGTGAAGAGTTACGGTAAATGGGGGTATCACAACCATGAGATGATCGCATATGAAGTGGGTCATCGACAGTTAAGTGGCCTAAGTCCTGCTGCGAAACTAATTGTAAAAGAAATGAGTGATGCTCAAGTGAAGCCTGCTAAAATATTAGCATCTGTGTTGGAGAAATTTCCTGAAGACCAGCCAAACCGAAGACACATCTACAACGTCAGACATAAATTGAGGTTTGAACGGTCAGAGGGAAGGAACCCTATACAGCAGCTTCTACACCAGGCACAAGCACGTGGTTACCTGTACTGGTTTGAATCTGATGAAGACACATCGGAGGTGACTCATTTGTTCCTTGTGCATCCTGATTGTGCTGATATGATTTCGTCTTGGCCATCTGTGATTCTGATCGATTCAACGTACAAGACAAACAAGTATAAGTTTCCACTGGTTGAGATGGTTGGGATGACTCCAACGAACCAGAACTTTTTGATTGGTTATGCAGTTATGAAGGATGAGACGGTTGCGAGTTACCGTTGGGTGTTGGAGAAGTTGAGAAATTACATCGGCCCAAGTGTTCAGCCATCGGCCATCGTCAGCGATTGTGAGGGAGGTCTCTTTGCCCCTATTGATACTCAGAGGAACGGCATCAAGAACTCTCTCGAGGACTCCAGACGGCGACATGGCACGATGTATAGCCATTTCATATTTAAGATTCTCCATGGTCGTGTGTCACACTACTGCTTGGGGTTGATTCTGAGCGAGCACACCAGGATGAGGGAGTTGGGTGATGAAGTGGCTATTCGGTGCGGATGTGCTATATCGGTGACTCATGGACTACCTTGTGCATGCACCATTCACCGCGTAATTACGCAAGATAGGGCGTCGTTACATGTTGATCAGGTTCATCCATTCTGGCGGACGCTCGTTATCGGAGAGCATGCTGTTCCACAGACAGTCAACCGTGAACAGGAGGAGTTGGAGCAGTTTCGTTCGATGTTTGACCAAGTGTCCTCCAGCCACCCTTCAGTCATTCGTAGTGCTACCCACGTACTTCATGACATGTTCAACTCGTCGTGCTTGGATCATGAGGAACCTGAGGGGGTCGAGCGACCACGGGGCCGACAACCACGGCGGGAAAGGAGTGCGTTTGAGTACATTCGTGGTCGTGGTCGTGGTCGTGGCCGTGGTCGTACATCGTCATCAAGTGGTAGTCAAACATCTTCGTCGGTGAATATGCCCGGCACCGGTACGGTACTTTAGTTTAATTTACTTTTTAGAGTGTTTGTTTAGTTTTCTGCTAACTTGTTAATTGTGTTTTTTGATGTGTGCAACAGGCAGAATGGACATTGAACATTTTCCATATAAAGACAGGATCCCTAACATCATGATGCCGTTCCTGGACGGGTGGAATGATGTGGTTGCAGATGGTAACTGTGGATTTCGGGTTGTGGCTGATGTGTTTCAGATGGGTGAAGACAACTACGGTTTAGTGCGTCAGTTGATGTACAGTGAAATCGCCTCAAACCGAGCTGTTTATCGCCACGTGTACGGACAGGACTTGGATAGGTCTCTGCAGCGTATCCGGTGGGGAGGAGGACGTTGCGGTCAAAATCATTGGTTCGACGCGCCCCTTGATCTCTTCGCCGTTGCAAACATCTACAAGTGTGCAGTGATGCATTTCGGCCTTGGTTTGCATGGTCGAGCTTACTATCCGTGTACCACGGTTCTGCCTTGGTGTTCGCGTGAGACCGTCACCAGACCGGTAAGAGAGGTTGCTATTGGATTTCTGGGGCCGTCATACAGACATTTCATCCGACTGGACCTGTCACCCGATTTTCCGGTCCCACCGATTATACCAACGTGGTACACCATTCGTACAGCAAGCGTAGAGGGCTGGGATGCGTTATATCATGACCGGGTGCAGCAGTGGAACAATCTAGTTGCCTTTTCTATGTGACCTAATATTGCTATTGCTATGTTTTTCCCATTTATTTAATTTTCGGATTCTAATTTTCGTATTTAGTTTTCCCATTTAAATGTGAACCTGTATTTAGTTTTCGTATGCCCACTAATTACAACTTAAAATAAAAGTTATAAAAACTAAAAATATAATGTCAAATTCTAAGAACTTAAAATAATAATTATAAGAACAGATAATGTTAACTTTTACAAACAACTAGGAAAATGTTTTATAAATGCACTGCCGACATATCAATAATCTCTCTGTGACGCCCACTGCCACTGCTCAAGGGCCCGTTCCAGTTCATCAATAACAGCTCTGCCTGTTGCAGTCGTCATGTTGTCCCTCTCCTCAAAAAGTCTGTGTCCCAACTGCGTCATCTTTCCCATCCACTACACATAACAAAACACATAAAATTCAATAACGACGTATTATGAGACATATTATATGAAAAAAAACACAACTACAAATGTTTTATGAGACGTACCGCATCCACGGCAGTGGGCGGTGGCACATCATCATCATCGGCGTCGTCGCCGTGGTGGACGTCTCTGATCAACCTCGGGTGCGAGTGCCGGTTGTACCACTCCATGTAGTGCTGGTCACACATGGCAGCCACCCCAGTTGGCGGCCGCTGCAACTGCTCAATCCATATGCGGGCAACCATCGGAAACTGCTCCCACGTGCCAATCATGCTTGCCGGCCATTGGACGACGTACTCCTTCAACGACGCAGATCGGACGGCCTTACTGGGCCATGCTGGTGGAGGAGGAACAACTTGGACATATCCAAGCTGGCGAAGACAGCGCTGCGGCATGTACGCCTCTACGATCTCACGATACTGAATCAGTCCCGTGTAGAGGGTCCTGGGTACCCTATTACTAGGGTTCTGGCCGAAAGGCATCCAGTTCACCTGCACATTTTTTTAAAATTAGTAAGATTCGTACAATAAACACATCAAACTATAAAAGTAGAAATAATTTAAACACTTTACCTCTAATGGGGACATCCTGTCAAGCAATAACCGTATCGATCGCAGGCGGTCAATGGACTTCTTCTCGACACGCGGACTCCACGCACAGGCACGTGGCTGGCCATCCCCAATAGGAACCGGGTCGCGGTGTGGTCGAAACGCCGGGAAATACTCGTATATCCACGTCTGTAACAACGTCATACATCCAGTGATACCTGCCGCATCAGCCCGGCTCGAGAATCCTAACTGGCGATACATGTACGCTAATGTAGCCGACCCCCAAGAAAACTGGCCTACTCTGTCGGGCTCACACGCGTCAACTATGTCGCGTGGCCTGAGCTTGTTTCCGCTCTTATCCGGAAACAAGGTACACCCGAGAAGAAGAAAAACATATGCAGCCAGCTGTGTGTCCTGCGTCCTACGTGAAGTGGGGTGCAAACATCGCTGCAAAACTGCTGCGATCTTAACACCGCCGTGATCCCACACACCAAGTGCCGCTGTGTACAGCGCAGCCCTATCCACCGCCAACAGCTCCGCCAATAAATCTGCCTGATCCGCATCTGTGACAACAGATGCTCGGTTTCCCTCTACGGGAATCCCAAGGATGGCCTCGACGTCATGCAACATGATCGTCATCTCACCGAACGGAAGGTGGAAAGAGTTCGTGTCCGGCTGCCATCGCTCAACGAAAGCCGTGATCAGCGTCGAGTCAATCCTCTCATGCATGGTGGCAGGAAGGTGGCTCACTCTAGTGGCCCTCAATCGGCCGACCATCTCGCTCTCCTCCGGCCAAGCCTCAGCCCAACTACACAAGAAGTTACAAGTCCTCTCCCGGGTTTGGCATTTCAAAATGCCGCTATCCAAAGCCCGCTCTTGGTCCTCCCAAATACGGGTAGCGATGTGTCCTAGAAAGCTAGGAATCACACTCCCGTCTATAGGTCCCCCAGCCACCTCGCCCCTCACCACCCAAGAATCATTAACGGCCCTCGACCGTTTTCTGCTAACCGCAGACACAGTGGACGCAGATGATGTGCCAGATCTACTAACAAATCTACCATCTCTACCCTTACGCACGTCTACCCTACGCGTCTCATACACATCATCAAGCCTCTGACTGAATGGACCGTAATCATCATATGGTCCACTCTGATCGTCCACATCCTCATCTGCATCCTCCTCCTCCTCCTCCTCATCACCATCATCATCTTCATCATCCTCAGAATAGTGCACCCGTTCTCTACGAGCCGAGGCCGAAATACCACGGGATCTAACGTGTCTGGGCCCCGAGCTCTCCATTGAGTTCATCGTACTTCTCATAATGTCCATACTCTTCCCAGCCCCAGAACGAAAATACGATGCCTAACACAAAATAACAACACATGTAATATGCAATATAAACATGTAATATAAACATAAAAAAAGTAATTAAAATAAATAAATAAAACAATATACATATGATGGAAAATAAATTAAAAACATTACAAAATATTAACAACCTAAAAATAAAAAAATTAATAACCTAATAAATAAATAAATAAAAAATTGGAAAAAACAAAGCAAAAAAAAAAATTACCCAAAAAAAACAAATTGGAAAACACAAAGTGAAAAATATAAAATTATAAAAACTTAAAAAAAGAAGAACATCAAAATTTTAAAAAAAATTTATAACAAAAAAAAGGGAACATAAAATTTTTTTTAAGTAAAAAAACTAATTCAAAAAAAAAAAAAACAAGAACAATAAACAAGAACATAAAATTAAAAAAAAGAAAAACAAATTTAAAAAAAAATCAAAAAAAAAAATAATTATTTTCGAAAATTAAATTTCAAATTTAAAACCAAAAAAAAATTAAATAAAAAAAATAAAAAGGCGGCGGCGCCTAGGCCAGACGCCGTGACGGTGGCGGCGGCGTCTAGCCCAGACGCCACTACCACGGCGGCGGCGCCTAGGCCAGACGTCGGTGCCGTGGTTCTGGCGCCTGGGCCAGACGCCACCGCCACCGTCACGGCGTCTGGCCTAGGCGCCGCCGCCGTGGTAGTGGCGTCTGGGCTAGACGCCGCCGCCGTGGTGGTGGCGTCTGGCCTAGGCGCCGCCACCGCCTCCGACCTTTTTTTTTTTTAATTTTTAAAACACAAAATTAATAAAAAATACCTTCTCGCCGGAAAACCGCTGTCCACCCGCCGCATGTGCCGCCACTTCCTTGCCGGGCCGCCTCGACATCGCTCGGAAAGTTTTTTAGAGAGAGAAAGTGGAAGTAGAGAATTGAGAGAAGAAATTGTGTTTTTTACTTTGAGGGCAAAAGTGACAATTCACTCTAATTTTGTGGGCTTTATGTGGAGATTCGCGGGCGATGATTAGCAATTTACTTATTTTATTCACTTCATTGAATTCTTCTACTTCTCCAACCTTCTGCAAAACCGGTGGTGGCTGCTTCTCTGTTGTCTCACTTGTAATTCTCTCTCCTCTTTTCCCTCCAAAATTCCCCTGTTTAATTACTTCTTGAAATCTATTATTATAGCTTTGACTTCTGCTAATAGTTTCTATTGTTCTAATTGTTCATGTTTATTTAGCTTTATTTAGCTTTAATTTCTGCTATTTTTGGCAGTTTTAGATTCTGGGGTTTTGGGTATTTTCCTCAAAACTTGAAATTTCTGGTTTTTTGTGCATATTTGATTGTTTTGGGATTTGGGTTTTGGTTAAAATCTTGATTAGGGTATTGGGTATTGCTTTAATTGTTGAATAGTTTGTTTAGTGATGGGGAAGCCTATTGGTAAGAAGAAACCTGAAACCCCTAAGCAAGGGGGCTCGGCGGCGAAGCCGAGCAAGGGTTCTGATAGAAGTTCAAAAGCATTTGATGAAGATACAGCAATCTTCATTAATATGTCACAGGAGTTTAAGGAAGAGGGTAACAAGCTGTATCAGAAACATGATTATGAAGGGGCTATGTTGAAGTTTGAAAAGGCCCTTAAATTGCTTCCTAGTAATTATATAGATGTAGCTAATTTGAGGACAAATATGGCTGGTTGTTATATGCAAATGGGTTTAGGTGAATACCCGAGAGCGATTAATGAGTGTAATTTGGCATTAGAGGTTGCACCTAAGTATACCAAAGCTTTTTTAAGGAGGGCCAAGTGTTTTGAGGGTTTCAATAGGCTGGATTTAGCTTGGAGGGATGTGTGTATTGTGTTGAGTATGGAGCCTAATAACCAGACCGCGTTGGAGCTTAGTGATAGCCTGAAGAAGACCATGGAAGAGAGGGGTATTAAGCTGGATGACAAGGAAATTGCTATTGCTATTGAGCACACACTTTCCCCTAGTAGTACACCTTCTCGCAAGATTGCGAAGGAGAAGAAGTTGACCAAAGAGAAGTCGTCAAAGAAGAAGAGGAGGAGTATGAGAGGTGAGGATGCTAAAGATGAGCATGTTGAGGTGAAGAAGGCGGAGGATGAGCCTAAACCTGAACAAGTTGTGGAGAAGAAGGTGCGACATAAGTCAATTGGTAAACAATTTAAGGAGAAGAAGGTGCATGCTCGGTCAAAACGTGAACAGGTTGAGGAGGATGTGCCAAAGTCTGAGGATAAGGAAGTTGTTCAAGAGAAAGTTATGGTTAAGGAAGCAAAAGTTATTTCAAGGTCTGTCAAGTTAGTTTATGGTGATGATATAAGATATGCTCAATTACCTATCAACTGTAATGTGTTTTTGATGAGGGATGTTGTCCGTGACCGATTTCCGAATTTGGAGGGTTCTCTTGTGAAATATAGGGATTCAGAAGGTGATTTGGTCACTATTACTACTACAGAAGAATTGAGGAAAGCTGAAGGGTCTGGGGATTCACAAGGCTCTCTCAGGCTATACATTTCAGAAGTTAGCCCTGACCAAGAACCTACTTATGATGGTGAGGAAGTTTCTAAGGTTAAGGGGAATGTTGTAAAGAGTGAGCAATCAGAAATTTGTGACAGTGAGAAGGAAACAACTTCTATTGACAGTTGGATTATCCAATTTGCTCAGCTCTTCAAAAACCATGCTGGGTTCGATTCGGATCCATACTTGGACCAGCATGAGATTGGAATGAAGATATATTCAGAGGCAATAGAAGACACTATTTCAAGTGAAGACGCACAAGAACTTTTTGACATCGCTTCTGATAAATTTCAAGAAATGGCAGCTTTGGCCTTGTTCAATATGGGCAATGTTCATATGTCCAAGGCAAGGAAGCAGGTATCTTTTTCAGAGGATCCTTTGGGTGAATCAATGCTGTTACAGATTAAATCTGCCTTTGAGTGGGCAAAGAAGGAGTATACAAAGGCCTGCTCGAAATACGAAGAAGCTCTTAAGATAAAACCTGATTTCTACGAAGGTCACCTTGCTCTTGGGCAGCAGCAGTTTGAACTGGCTAAGCTTTGCTGGCATTATGCACAAAGGGACTTGGTTGATCTTGAGTCCGGTGCAACTCAGGAGATTCTTCTTCTTTATAATAAAGCTGAAGACAGCATGGAAGCAGGCATGCAGATATGGGAGGAAATGGAGGAGCGACGTTTGAATGGACTTTCCAAGGAAGAAAAGTACAAGGCTAAGCTGCAGAAACTGGGATTGGATGGTTTGCTGAGAGATTTGTCTGCTGATGAAGCTAAAGAACAGGCTTCAATTTTAAGATCACAAATATACATTCTATGGGGCACATTGCTGTATGAGCGCTCTATTGTCGAGTTCAAGTTGGGTTTACCATCTTGGGAGGAATGTTTAGAGGTTGCAGTTGAGAAGTTTGAACTTGCTGGTGCTTCCCATACAGATATAACTGTTATGATAAAGAACCATTGCTCGAACCAAGCTGCACCAGCAGGTATATACTTCTTGAATATATTTGCTCCTTGATTAACTGCATCTTATTTTACTTTATTTCTATGATTTGTAATAACAATAGCTTTTATTTTGAACATGAAGACGTAAGCTATAATTATATTTTTGCTATGGCTCTAGGTCTGGAGTTCAAAATTGATGAAATTGTTCAGGCATGGAATGAGATGTATGATGCAAAACGGTGGCAGCTTGGAGTTCCATCTAACAGGTTGGAGCCATTGTTTCGCCGGCGAGTTCCTAAAATCCATCACATCTTGGAGCATCTTTGAGTGTGTTGGTAAAGGCCTGCCATGTTTGGACATGGCAAAGTAGGTCAGCATGGCATCCCATTGCTGACTGCTGTTGCTTAGTAGAATAGGTAACAACTCAACTTTTTTCTTTTCCCCTATTGAACATCCCCTGTTCCCATTTTCAACTTGCCATGTTGACTTACTTTCGTTCACCAAGGATGTTAAACTTTTTTTTTTTTTTCTTTAAAATGAAACTTTAAGAAATTGTTTGATGATGTAAGTTGATTGATGGCGCTTTTGATATCAAATCATAAACACTTTCACCGTTTCACGTATAGTTGATTCTACTACATTTGGACCATCCAATTCCTAATTTCTTATTGAACTAGGGAGGTGAATTAATAAATTTTTCATTTAAAATGCTCTTTTCTACATGACTTCCGTAATGACTATATGTGCTTTACCGATGTGCAATTTGGTTTTGTTCAATATTCTCACACGACTGCCATAGCAGGTTTTTATTCTCAAGGAGCGGGACAATAGTGTTGATGTCCATGGCTTTTTGGCTTATTAGCGTATACAAGTCTGTCATAGCATTGGTGTTGTAATTGAAGTGTGGTCGAGCTGCGGTGCCAGTTCATTTTCTTCAAAAGCTTGCTGTTTCCCCACAGGACTACAGATTACAGAAGAGTGTCACAGATAATTTTTTTGTGCTTTATAGATAATTTGTTGCCGTATTTGCATACTAGCAAGATTGTAATTTGTAAAGTTGTTCATGAAAGATTTGCATATAGGATATTGGCAGTGGTTTTGGTCATTTGGTGTTATTCTTTGTCATTCATTGTCATATTGCTGGTTTTACATAGCAATTACTGATGATCCGTTAATTGTATTGCAACAATGTATAAGTGAAAGGGTTCCACTTAATGTTATGCTATTTATTTGATCTTCCTGAGAAAAAAAGATGCAAACATGATTGCTTCAATTAGATATTTAGATTATGCTCGGACTAAGATTCAATGGTAGGTGAATAGGTCTCATGAGGTCTAGTTCGGCCCATTCCAAGATCAACTTTAACCTAGGCACCTTCATTTATCTAAAAAGGAATTGTAATATAAGCTATAAATAATGAAATAGTATTATTAATAGCATTATATATATAAAAAAAAAAGTATTATTAATAGAACTAATTGGCATGTGAAAAATGTATAATTTTCAAAAGATATACCAATTTTAAGATATAAAATCTAATGACTAATATACTTTATTATGTAACTAGCGGCCAATCGTTTAAGATTAGACTTGATAAAACTGATGCAACTTGAATTAGCCAACCATACACAAAAGTGACAAGACATACTCAAATGCGTCGTATGTCACAATTGGATAATAAATATGGTTAAAATTTATCAATTTTGCTTAATAAATTTTATCATTTTGCTTAATAACCTAATTTGGCCATTTGACAACATAAGTGAACTTCGAAAGATTTTTAGATGTGAATATTAGTGGTGTTGGCAGGCTGCTATTTCACGGCTCATTCCTTTCTATTTGTTTTCTTTAATTTTTGTTTTTCACATCATTTTAGACTTTGTTGGTTGTAGTACTTCTATGCTCTTTTTTTCTCTGATTAAACTTTGAATTATTTAAACTTATTTTTGTTAACTAAAGCTTATTTTGGCTAAGTGGAATATTGAATGATTTTTGTTTTTTCATATTTACTAGATTAAATAATATATTTTTAATTTTTTTTTTTTAAATCTTAAGGTTGCATAAACAGATATACATATACCGATATACGTACCTAAGTACGTATTTAATGTACACGAAGTATAAAATAGAAAACACAAAAGAGAGAAAAAGGTAGCAAAAAAAATTTTGTAATTGAAGAGAAGAATCGTTATAGGTAGAGAGGAATCGCTATTAAAATCAATAAAGCCAAATAGAAGAATCTGTAATCTTCACTACTTATTCCTCTTTTCTCTGAATCCGATTCATCCCTAAATTCTCTCTCCTCCTGAATTTGGCAATGGAGATAGCAAGAAGAGCTTCTCACGCTGGTTCTTGGTACACCAACAATCGTATGTTTGTTCCATCTTCTCTATTTTTTTAATTTTCTATAATATCCCTTCTTTACTTTAATGCTAAAAATCTGTAGTAAAGGTAAAAACCTTGATTTCGACTAAATATTTATCTGGGTTCATTTTGATTTTTAATTTTGTGATGTTTCTTGTTTTTCGGTGTTTTGGCTATGGAATTTGAAGCTTGGTTTTATGTGATACGAAGTGTAAATTTGAGTTCAATTGAATTATAAAGAAAACTAAATATGATCAAGTGTATCGAAAACTGATTATATGGGATCATTTGAGAAATTAGGAAAATGGATGATAATAAATGTGAAGATTAGTAGCTGATCAAACAGTAATTAAGATGCTTATATTGTTAAACATTGTTCTGAATTGTTGTTTGTGTTTGATTGTTGTGGATTTGCAGGACATATTTAATGCTTAAAATGCTTGTAATAAACTTTTGCTTACTAAACCTAGCTAAGCATGGAAAGAAATTTTAGTGCAATTGAGTTGTTTTTGTGTGATGAGTTAAAGTGAAATTTTCGATTCCAGTCCACTGAGTCAATTTTAATTGCTTGTTGCATGCATATATAAAAATAGAGATCATGTGTACTACCGCGAACTGCTTTTACTAATTTCGATAATTTCCTCAATATTGCTTAATTTCTCTGATTTAAGATATAATCTTGGAGCAAATGGGTCCAACTTAAAATAATGGTGCTATAGAAAGTACTACATTACATCTATAGATATTTCGGGAGATATGCTTAAACAAAAGTGTTTCTCAAATAGATTAATTTGATGTTTGGCTGGTGGTTTGGAGTAATTAGTGAGATTTGCTTAGTAAATAGTGATATCATACCCCTCCCTTCTGGTGTTGTAAGTTTTGTAACTTGGATACACCATTCTGCATGAGGACTTGAGGAGTATGAATGACATAGGTATTTTTCATCGTAGCATTGTTGTTTCCGTCATTATTAAGCTTGTGCTATTTCCCATAACATCAGTAGAACAGTGATTCTAAGAATGAAATAGATTTGTATAGTTGGAATTTTTTGGTTCTATAATCTTGCCTTGCAGTTTAAAGTTTTTTTACATCTTTTTGTCTTTGTCATTAAAGTCTTCATCTTTTCTAAGCAGATTTTATGTCTCTTATTCAGCTAGCAAATTAGCTGAAGAACTTGAAGGGTGGCTAAATGAAGCTGGCCTTAGTAAATCTTCTGATGTACGAGGTGTTATTGCTCCGTAAGGCTTTTTTTCTGTTTCACCCCTCATTTAAAGGACATTAAATACTGCGATGGACATAATCCTCACTTTAGGAAATGCTTCCATATGACCAGGCATGCAGGATATTCATATTCAGGCCGTGCTGCAGCTTATGCATTTGGCAACATAGACCCTAAAAGCATGTGAGTTTTTTCTTCAAAACTCAATTGTTATGTATCATTACCTCTTTTTTAATGCTATATACCTATATTATACTGAAAAGCGAATTAAAATTTTCAGATTAATGAGAACAACAGCCTAGTTATGTTATCATGCATTAAATGCTTTTTTTTGGGGGTGGTGGTGGTGGTGGTGGTGAGGGTTACTATTTAATGTGCTGCTTTTTAACTTTAAAAAAAAAATGTGTGTTGATCCAGTTCACGGGTGTTCCTTTTGGGTCCCTCGCATCACTACTATACTCCAAAATGTGCTCTTTCAAGAGCCACTGTCTACAAGACTCCTATTGGAGATCTGCCCATTGATTTGGAAGGTATGGTCAAGCATTACATATAGTTTCTTTCTTTTCTAATTCCATTGTCTCTTCTAGTGTGATTGAACTGGTTGAAGTAAATGTCTTCTTGAAACTTTGATGAAAATTGGTATCAATTGTCAGACTTTGCTTTAAGTTGGTTATCCAAAACTTTTTCATGAATCATATAGATAAATTAGTTATTATTTTCTCTCTCTGGAAGCATGGGAAAATCCTTTGGTAAAGGAAGTATTTCATCAAATATATGCTACCTTCTGTAATCTCCTAAGAAACTTAATGGAAACCTTAATAACTGAAAATATAAAATTTCGGTTTAATAGTCTATATTCGTCATTTTTTTTTTGTAATTGAAGGGGGGGGGGGGGATAATCTGTACATTCTTTTAGCAACAGAAATTTGCTTTCATGGACTAATTGTGATGGTTTAAACTTCCCTCACCTGTATTTTGTGAATCTTATGAAAGGTGTGTGTGTGTGTGTGTGTGTGGAGAGGGGGAGGGGGGTGTTTAAACTTCCCTCACCTGTATTTTGTGAATCTTATGAAAGGTGTGTGTGTGTAGAGGGGGGGGGGGGGGGGGGAAGTAGAACTGTTACAGGTTCTTAATAAGGAAAGCTCAGTGACACCATTTTTTTAGTATTCTATGGTTAATTTATTTGTTGAGATGGTTCCAATGAACGGCGTGTATTTATTTCCCACTTCTACAAATTTCCTTGTATTAAAAACCTCATTATTTGCTTTTGTGAAGAGAACTCACTTGTATCCTTTTTTTATTATTCAACCAGTCATTGAGGAGCTTAAGGCGACTGAGGAGTTTGAAATGATGGATATTCGGGTTGATGAGGCTGAGCACAGTATGGAGATGCACTTGCCTTATCTTGCTAAAGTATTTGAAGGGTAACTAATATCTTTATGTTAGTCTCTTCTATGGACCACACCATCTGCTTTGTTGAGTTTCACCATCTGATAATAATATTGCAGACGTTCAGTGAAAGTTGTTCCAATTTTAGTTGGTGCTGTTAGTGCTGAAAGTGAAGCCATGTATGGCCGATTGCTAGCTAAATACGTGGATGATTCAAGCAATTTTTTCTCAGTATCCTCTGACTTCTGTCACTGGGGATCTCGGTATGTCACAATTCTTACTTCTCTTTGGCTGATATGATGCCAGATTTTTCCAAGTATATTCTTAGTTCTGTTCCTAAAAACTAAAAGCCCCTACTATTTTTCCTTGCTTTAGCTTCAACTACACTTACTATGACAAGAAACATGGAGCCATCCACAAGTCTATTGAAGCATTGGACCGTATGGGGATGGAAATTATAGAAACAGGAGATCCGGATGCATTCAAGCAGTATTTACTCAAATATGATAACACCATCTGTGGTCGTCATCCAATTAGTGTTTTCCTCCATGTAAGTACCGTTATGGAGTATTCTACTGAATTCAACTAAGAACCAATTCACGTGTTTACTTGTCTCCTTCAATTACTTCTGTTTGGTGGCAGTTATTTTTCTTCTCTCTTATAATTACAGCTAAGTTGGCAGTCTTAATGCTCGAGGTACCGCTTCACTGTTTACTTTCTCATATAATTTCCATCTTCTATATTTTCAGATGTTGATGAACTCTGCCACGAAGATAAAGATTAAATTTTTGCGGTACGAACAATCAAGCCAATGCAAGAGCATGAGAGACAGTAGTGTAAGCTATGCTTCAGCAGCAGCCAAGGTAGAACCTTGAAACCTCAAGGACTATCTATCTCCTGCTAGGCTGCTATGCATTTTAGTTGCTTTGAAGGGCTGTCTATGCTTGATCTCTGATTTTCATCCTTTAAAGCCAAAACTTGGTTTTCCATTTGTACCTTAGTTCAAAAGTCTATTAATAATGAAACTTTCTCCAAAAATAGTTGTCCCGAAGGCATTTTGTTCAGATGGGTTCATTATTCGATTGCCAATTCTTCAGATTTTTCTTCGTTATGCGGTGTATCTATTTTTTTTTTTTTTTTTTTTTTACAGATTTTAGTTTTACCATTGACTAATTGCTGACGGAAGTAGATAAGTTCCTGTAACAAGAAGGTAGTCTATCTAGTTCAGCCAAGGTAGAAGCCCGCAACCTCGAGGAAAGAATCAAGATTTACCATTAATAGCCAACTATGTGCCGATACATCCAAAATTTTCCATACTACTGATAATGGTGCATGATTTTGAGAAAATGCTTCAGGGCAAGAGAAGTCTAATAAACACTGAAACTCTGAACCCTTTTGCAAATTAACAATTACTGCAAGTCTGCAACCACTAAACATCAAGTTTTAGAATTTACCTATTTCTAATTACCAAAAGACCTGGACTGATTTAGTATATTACAAGATCCAAACTTTTACAGGTGAAGAGGAAAATTGTGTTTGTCTTATAAATAGATTGAACTCTTCTAGGCGATGGGCTTCAACCCTGACACCATCATCATCATCGTCTTTTTTTCACAAATTATTTTAAGGAATCCCCAGATTATTAAGGTTATTGAATTTCAAGATTTTAAGGTAAATTTTTCTGTGTTGCTGTTAGGCATTGTAGCTACTAGTTTATGTGTGCACTACACAGTTGCAGTGGTACTTAGACAGTAAAAGAACTAGTAGCTGTACACCTATTTCTGTTTATGTGCAAGATTCAATTTCAAGGACCCTGTGCTCTTAATTTCTATTATCTCTTTCAATAAAAATTGAGGTTCTATGTTACACCAATATTTTGTAGCAAGCTGAAACTTTCATCTGCACTCGAATCTGCAAAGTACAGGTGCAAGGGTACAACATGTAAAATTACAAAATTTGCTTTATTCAAGTCATAACAATATTGATGAAGAAATAACTCTCAAATAGGAAGATTGTGTATCTGCTATTATATATTCAGATGTTTGGCCTTTTAATTTACATAGTAAGGCGGATAGCAGGGTTCTCTAGGCGTTGGTTACGCTTAGATTTGACCATTTGGCTTAGAGCCTTAACATACCGCTTGACAAATTTTTTGAGTTTCACTCCTTGGTGGCCATCATCAGGCTGTTTTACTACCAGTTGAAGTTGCTTCTCATCAGCGAAATACTGGCCAAGTATAGCCCTACCTTTATCTTTTCCATCAGATGTGTCGTCTGCTTTGCCATCAACACTAATAAGCTGCTTGAGTTTTACATGGTCATTCTTCTGCCCTTCACTGGTCTGAGTTTGATCATTTTCATTCTTCTGATCAGGACCTCTTGAAAATTTTGGAGCAACAACATCTTCTTCGACTGTAGACAGATACAATGTCGCTCTTCTGGTTCTCTTAGACTTGCTGATATCATACAAGTGTTTTCTGGAACTGTATTCACTGCCCATTTTGTGGTATAACAGTTCAAGGAAAAAACAAAAATGAAATTAATAACAAGATTAAGAAAATGAATAAAGAAGTGCAAGAAACAAATCAAAGATTATGCATTTGGTTAGTTTAAGAGAGTTTTAAGCAAAGCCTTCTGTAGGTATTACTTAATTAAACAGCAAATAAAATCAAGTAATTAGCCTTTGTGAAAGGTAACCCATCAATTTTGTAGGCTTCCTGTCTTATATAACCATAGAGAAATCTAGAGTTTATATGATTACCTTATAAAACTAAAAACAAAACCTTCTACCAAATACAGATTTGGATGCTTTCTGATTAGTCGCCTTTCATCATGAAATGGTGTTACTAACTATCATTATCTGAGACTAGCTGCCTTTCTCTTCAGCTATAAATTAGGTATTATGCACTTTTCTAAGTTTTGATACCTCTAATGCAGTCGTTTTCTCACTTTTTTTTCGGCTTTTTTTTGGGGGGTGGGGGGTTCTGTAAGATGGTTTTGCTATATTTTACAAAAAACAGAACCCGGATAAATGGATACCATCATACCAGCATACAACAGACAGTTCATAATATCAGTGTATATATTGCTTAATGCAAAACATCAACAGTACAGTTTCCGAGCTCTGTTCAAGCATAAGTATTCATCAACTACTGCATCTTTTCAAAATTGCATGTACGCGCCAGATTTAAGGTATCATATTCAGTACTCAGTTCCTTGTATAAGAAACATCCATGACGAGTAAGACATCAAACAGGCAGCTCCTATCCGGCCAATGTTTTCTAATTCCTTCCCCCTTTTTGTAGACAATCATATTCACATACATCTCAGTGTCACTATCCACCTTCATGAGTTGGCACTTTAAGTAGTATGTCAAAGATCTTACCACTGAAGTACTCATTGAACATTATTCAAGTGAAAGATTGAGATACCTTGATGAAATCTATTTTATTGCATTGCACGACATATCCGCAATCTAGTCTCCGATTGGATCTTGCACGTCAATCCCACAGGTCATCATACTTCCCCGGCTGAGTGAGCACAAAGAATTGTATGTGTTAAACAAACATGCAAGGAAATAAGCAAAAATTAAAGGCATTACTCTTATTGAGCCAAGTGAAGTGATCAAAGTTTATGCTTAGAAATAAAATATCCAAGATTATACGAAGCGTATGCCCCCTCTTTTCCTACATTTCTTGTTAAACTTCCTTTACATTTTTCATACACAAGCCACCAAGAAACAGTAATTGTTCAGGGGCAATTTCTTAAGCATTACACTAAATTTTCTGAATTGGCCTCTTCAATGTTAGGAACAGACAATTTGAAGCTAGGAGTAACATCACAGTTTCACTGGCTAAAAGTACTTTAAGGGCCTTACTAGCTTCATCAAAATAAACCATACTTTGGTATACATTTAGCTTTAGCCTTGAGGATAAATTCACTTCTATCAATGTTAAAGCAGTCAAAATGCGCGTCTGTATACTATTATCATAGCACAATCAAGGGGCTATAAACCTTCAATCCATGCCCTTTGCACCCTAAATCGGCATCCTATAAGCAATACAGAACCTCTCTGTAGTCTGCACCCCCAGAGCATGACCAATATGGTGCCACAAACCCAATAGAGGTGATTACTGCCAAATTAAAATCCAGTATTAGTATGATCAGAGAACTCTTTCCGGCTTGTTACAAAATTCCCCCCAAACTCATTACTAGTACATTAACGAAATACACACCTCATCATAGTGAACAATACTTAATTATAGTCGCGTAACTCATCAAATTCTTTAATGTATTGTTAACCTCCAGTCATATTAGGTATCAGAACAATAATGCAGTGATTAAAACTCTTAACAAGCCACCTGCTACAGTAGTTGTAGTACATTAAATCAATCAGTTTTGCTTTCAATTTCATGACTAACACACCTAATAACTAGTCATGAAACAATACTTTCCCAAATTAGCAACTATACACAAAAGATTGTCACAATGTATCATTAGTCAATTAAATCTTATGGTTCTATTGGTTTTCAATACAACTCGAACCTTTTAGAGTTTTAAGCTGTCCAAAAGGACAAATAATTCAAGTAATTAAACCATTAAACTACTAAATTAGTACCTATATAATTCTGATTTCTGTATTTAGACAGCAAATTGAAGCAAAACCCAGATCATAATTCTAGGCAAACAAAAACAAGTGCAGAAATTTAATGCAAAAAAATTAAGGTTTAAAACTCCCAACTAATCAGTCAACAGTTTAGGAGAGAAACTCATTAATGTTTGAGGGGAATTGCTTACTTTGTCAACCAATTACAACAATTGAAATTATACTTTGATATTGTTAAATAAAAGTTGGTAGATTGTGGTTGCTTGCTCCAAATACATTTTGATCTGAAAATTTTAGTGTAAAATTTTAGTCCAAAGTCTAAATTGTATTTCTTGAAGTTTGTTTGTTAATGTGCTCAAACATTAAATCCTATGTTATTGATACATTGTCTCATTGTAGGTATGGGAAGACTGTGTTTGTTATAACCAATTATAACATTAGTTGAAAGTAGTTGAATATTAAAAAGCATTAGATGCTCGAAAGGTGGGAGTATAAGTATGCGAGTAAATTAAAGGAATGTGAAGTACATAGCTTAAATTATAAGAACCTGATCAAGCGTTAGGTTGTTAAATTTAGAGAATACAATGTTGGATATGGGCAACCTAAGGAGGTTGAGAGTTCGCCCTATTATACAAACTCATGAGAGGTTTCATTCTAAAACCAATTAGAATAATAAGCTCTCAAGCTAATCACTGATTGCCTTTGTTGTTAATGTATATTAATACGGAGTATAAATTTCAAAATATCAATTTTTAAATTTTTTATTAATATATATTTCCCTAGTATTGACATGATTTTGGAACAGGAGGAAGAATAATAATACTTTGTACAATTAGATGCTACGGTGTACTCCGTAGTTTAGGAGGGTGTTAAATACCGCCATAAAAATTATCAAAACCGCCAATATTTAGTGTGAATGGACAACCATGCCCTTAGTACTTCACCACTATCTTCTCTCTTGCCACTAATCACTAACACCTTGACACCACCATCCTAATCGGTGACGACCACCACCACCACACTGATCGTCGACGACGACCACCACCACCTTGATCGGCGACCCACCACATCCCCCTTAATGACGATCCACCATCTTCCCTCGCCTCGCCGATGGAAAGGTGGTGGGTTTTTTTATTTCCGACAACCGCGGTAACCAGAACCCAAAAATATTACCGTGTCAGCAGGTTACCGTTTACCGTGCACAATAACCGGAGCCTAAAATCGGTTACTAGGCACGGTAAGTGGAGCCCAAAACCGGTTACCGTGCCCGGTAACGGGTTTTGGGACTTGGTTACTACAATTGTCGGAAAAAAAAAAAAAAAAAAAAAAAAAAAAAAAAAAAAAAAAACCAGTCTTGGGCTTTGGTCATTAAGGGGGATGTGGTGAGTCGCCGGTCATGGTAGTGGTGGTTGTCGCCAGTCAAAAGGGGTGGTGAGTCGCCAGGGAGGATAAAGGGTGGTGAAATAGTAGGCTATGGTTGTCCATTCACACCAAAAGCCGTAGTGATATTTTTTTATGGTGGTATTTAGCAATTCACGTATTTTAATGTCATAACGGTTACGGAATAGTAGAGTACCGTTGCATAAATGAGGTTGTGATTGAGAAACGGGACTAATATTTAAAAGACAAAATAAAAAACTTTACTACGTAGTAAGAACAAATGTAGGTGGGCCCTCTATGACATGTGACTCCTCCTAAGAATTCTCTTACATGTCACACGCTCACATTTCTACCTACTGTCAATTTAATACTTCATCATCAATTTATCACATCCCATCGTAGCCGTTGAAATCAATCCCACGGCCTTAATTCACTTCACTTTCTCTGTTATTCTACCACTTAAAACAACGTTTATGTCAGCAACTTGTAGAGGCATTATCTTTAAAAGTTTAATAAACTAAATAAAACGAAATTGATGACCTATGAATATCTAATACTTGTATAAACCTTACAACAAATTACAATGGAAACTTCTTGTATTTGACTAATATATAATAAAGTAGGTTAATAAATAGTCTTTGAATAAGAGTTATTGTTAGATATAACGATAAAATTTTATTGCCACTATATATGAGTTAACAATTGAGGAGTTCTTTACATAGGTTACACATTTAGATTAATCATTAATTCAATTAATTGACAACAAGATTTTTGTTATACTCATAGTTTATCTTTAAATTATGCTATTATTAAGATTTCATGTCCTTTTATTTAAATTGTCTATCACTTCACTCAATATTCTATTCTGTTATTACGAATTAAACATATTTTTCTTCTCAATCTTTTTGCAAAAGTACTATTTTACTCGATATTACTTCTCACAAACAACCTTTTCATTACAAAAATATCTTCCGTTCTTACTTATTGTAACATTAACAAGTACGGAGTACAGTAAAATAAGGAGTAATATAATACTCGTACTAAAGTACTACTAGTCTACTAGTATTAAAGAACAAATATTAACTAAACACTAGGGAATAGGGAGTAAGGAAATAGGTCAAAGTCAACTGAATTAATTAACACTTGTACAAGTAACTTAAATACAGTATTAGATTAGATTAGATAAAAAGTTAAATTAAAAAAAAAATAATAATAAAAATCTGGAAAACCCTAAATTTTACCCCTTTTTGTTTTTCCTTCATATGATTCCGCTATTTTTAGGGTTTTTACAAATTAAATTAAGAAAGAATCAATTCTTCCAAACTTTTTCTTTCTCTCTCTTTCTCCATCACTTTCTCTCTCTTTCTTTCAATTTCCCAGTTTTCTTAGGAAATTTGCAATGGAGATGATGGCGAGCTCAAACGATGTCGTTTTGCGGAGTTTTGTGCTTGAGACTGTTGCTACTGTTGCTGCTCAGTCTCTCTCCTTTGCCCTTGTTATGGTATATAATTTCTTTCTCGCTCCTCACTTCTTTTCACTTCGCTTTTAGCTTAATTTAGAAATTTAATTTTTTTTGCTAATTTTGGGTATAATTAAGCGCAAAATTCACTACTTTTTCCTTAATTTAGTAAAGTTTCTGGCTCCTGCTTACTTCAATTGGTTTTTTCGATTTTTTCTTTCATTTTTTTTAATTATTATTTCTGTATATAATTAGAGTTAGAATTATTTGTTTTATTAATTTTTAAAGCTCCCCCCCCCCCCTTTTTTTTTTGGTTTCCTTTTAATAAATTTTGAAGGCAATTTGGGTATTTTTATTGTAATATTTGGGTGTAGATCTGAGTTTAAGTACTGTAAAATTACAAGCCAAAAATTTTCAAACTGGGGAATTTATTTTATTTGTGGATATTATGTAACATTTTTGAGGTTTTTGTTTGGGTTAATTAAAGTTTGTTATATTGGAAGGAAGATGAAATTAATTCATGACCAAATACTGGTAATTTAAGCATTTTGGTCCTGTCTCCTGTGATTGACCCTAATATTTCTGGCAATGTTGGCCTGTATTCAGGATTTGTTGATAGTTGGAAGGAGAATGTTAATTAAAAAGTGCTTTCTTGGATCATTTAAGAATTATTACTTGATTTGGGGCTTTAGGTTAGTTTATGTTGCAGTACAAGTGGTTTTCGTGGAGTTGTGATTGATCATTGGTGTCTGAAAGTTTAGCGGCTTTGCGGTTTGTTGTAGCCTGTAGGTTGTTTGAGCCACTGAATTATTATTTTTTGCTGAACTAATTTGAGGTGCTTTATAAAATTGAGTTCTGCTAGGCTGGTAAGAGTTTGCCGAATATTGATTTAGAATTTTGTTTTCATTAAGACTTGTAGCAGAAGGGAAATATGTCTCTTTGTATGCTAAGCTAATATAAGGTGGAAGCTTCCTGTAAATACTGACGAACTCAAGATAATGGATGGTGGTTTAGTTTGGTACTCTGGATTTTGAAGTAGTAACATTGAGGAAGGTCATTGTTTTTCAGTAGTATCCTGGTGTAAAAAGACACAAATGGTATAATGGGTTCTCAAATAGATGTATTTCGTGCTTCCTTTTGTTTGTTGAGCTATCATCAAGCAGGCTAGAAGTAGAAACTATGTATTAATGGCTTTTGTTTATGAGAGAAAATGCAAGTTGATTTGAGCTGAGTTGAGTCTTTGAGGATTATCACTAAGGTTTTAGGGGCTAAGTAATTATGGGCTGAGATTTATGATGGGTTCATATTTGAAAGGTCAATTGTCTTTGATGTTGTGATTTTGTTAATTCTGTACACTCTCTATCTTTTCGCTGTACAAAGAAGAATATTTATATTGGGTGTTTCAAGTTTGGACACACTTTGGCTTAGAGTATCTACGAATATGTATTGTTTCCTTATGTTTGGTACACAAACAGAAAATCATGCTGTGTTATGTTTAGTAGGAGTGTGAAGATTTAAGTTCTAGGTTATGGCTCTTCAAAGGTTGCTTGTCATGTTTCTTATATTCTATCCACTGCATTTATATTATGACTTTAGGTTGGTTACGAAATATTGTGAGCTCAAATTTCAAAGCTAACAAATAAAATGTGGTAGGGGGATTAGACAATTTGTGTTTTTGCTTTACTTAAGAAAGACCTTGTTGCCTTATAATATCTGAGGCTGTCTCTCAAAGATTGCCTAAAAGCCCACTTTAAAGTTTTCAAGGATGAAAGTGGAAGATTTGTGGTTCCCCATGAGTCTGCTAGCAGTGATGAGGGTTTTAGTTTAGGACTTATAGAGAAAGAAGCTTGGTCAATAATTTCTGTTGTATCATTTCTAGTCTTGATTGCTTGACGGAAAATTCATGCAGGATTGCCAACAATGAGTAATGTGTTGAAGTAGAACTGCCTACCTGGGTGCATATCTAGTCAAAATGTAGGTGGTTTGCTCTGCTTAGATAAGTGACATTTTCATTGAAGTTGTAAAACCAATAAGCAAGCATAAAGGTAAGCATGGTCACTGTGCAATACTTGACCAGTTCAGGCCAGCTTGTGCTGGGAGCATTCATTGTTGTCTTTGGGTAAGGATTTGACTTGTCAACTCATCTGAGTGTTTCCATCTTTTCCCCCCTTTTCCCATTGATTTCTTCTGCTACGCACTCCCTTGTTGTTCCTGTTGAATAAACCTGCTGTCTCCATAGTTCAATATGGTTTGCCTTCCTCCCATATTGTGTGGGTTGCCTTGTCTAATGTGCTGGCTATCCAACCCAAAGTTGACTTCGACACTCCTATCTTCATTCTATTAGATGTCTTTTTACGTTGTCTGGCATTATTAGTTATCCAAAACTTCGTAAATACTACCCTTATATTAGTGGAGTATCTGGCATGTATAAGGAGATTTGTTGTGGGAAAAGGCTTATGGGTGGTTATGTGGAAGAGTGGAACATATAAACTGACGATTGCCCCGCTGAAGATTCCAAGATGTACTTTTGCCAAGCCCATTAGAGTTAAAATGATATATTAATGAGAAGATTTGTGATCCCTGGTTATAGCGAATCAGCGATGGTACTGTCACTGCTTATTTATCATCTGATGTGATGTGAATTTGAATTGGCATGACTTCCCTTGGTGTTGAGATAATATTCATTAGCGTTGCAGCCAAGCCAATGTCAATAATATAAAGGGCTTTTTCTCTGACTTTTTGTGAAAATTGATTGATCAAGAGATTGATTTTTGGGATATGATCTTTATTAAAGCTAAGATATATACGCTTACAATAGCATCCTCAATTAAGGGCTTCCCATATCTGTTTATTTGGGTTAAATGTGGAGTTCGGATCCACTCAAGGCTTTTCCATAGAACAAATTTATGGCAATCAACGAGTGAAGCCAATCCAGACCAAGGGATAAAATGATAGTGCCAGATGACGCTGGTTGCACATGTAATTGAACTGCTGGATTTTGCTTTTGATTGATTGGCAAACCTAGGCAATTTAATTACGTAGTATGTATTTTTTTCAATCTGATAACCTAATACTAGGATACATTGGCCCAGATGTTTTGTAACCGTGACAAGTGTGAATGTTTGATATCAAAAGAGAATTTTGCTTAAGAATATCTGATGCAATGTTGGCTGGTTGCCAAACAGAGCCATAGGCTAGCAGATCTAATCTAAGTGATGCTACTTGTAATTTAATTTCTTCAAATCCTAGCTAATCTTGGGTCTTTTTTTTTTTTTTTTTGTTGTCTGATTATTCTTGTCTATCTTTGAGAGCTATTATCGTGTTTTAATATTTCTCAGCTGACATTCATCCTTGGCAACTTGGTTTGTTTCAGCTAGGATCTTTGCCACGAGGTGATATTGTGCTGCCACAGGAACCTGCTTTGTTCAATTGGTCAGTAACCCTTTAGGGTTTAAAACTATTGTCATGCTGAGGCTGCAAGTTCATATAACTGCAATATTAATGTCTTTGCAGGCTTCCATTATCCGAGTTCCACCATTCTGAAAAGCCTGATTCAGAGAATAAAGATGCAGACGAAGAGGATGATGACGACGATGATGACGACGCTGAAGGTGATGAGAAGGCTGGTGGTGAAGAAGGTGGTGAGGACGAAGGTGAGGAGGTGAACGATGAGGAAGAGCCAGAGGCCAATGGAGAAGGAGTTGAAGGGGAGGGAGAAGATGATGATGACGATGAGGAGGAAGATGATGATGATGACGACGACGACGATGATGATGAGGATGGTGGAGAAGAAGACGAGGAAGAAGAAGATGAAGAAGAGGGAGAGGAGCCACCATCTAAGAAGAGGAAAGGAGCTTAATAGAGAAACCCCTTTTAACACTTTTTTATTCCTTTTCAATTTTCTTTTCAAGGGGTGAGGATTCTGAAAAATGTTGGGTAGCCTTTGTTCAAATGCGAGGATTAAGCTTGTTACGAATGTAGAAAAAAAAAATTATTGAAGTGTTGATGTATTAACCCATGTGATGTTACCAATTTTAGAAAATAATTACTTTTTTTTAGTGTACCACTTCATGTTTTTAGCAATAATATAATACTCTTCCCCGTTTCTTCATCATGCTTGTTTTATCAATACGTACGGAGTATGTCTTGTTTGGTGTATAAAAGCGATACAAACGGGGTGTTATAAAAGCGATACAAATGGAATTCGATCCTAGAAATTGGGTATTATAAATGGGATTTGTTCCTAGCAATTGAGTATCATCTTCATTTGATTCTTACTCTCCATGTTTTCATCTAACACGTACCTAGATCCCTCCCCTTAATCACGGATTTTCAAAATATTTTTTAGAAATTTCTCATTCTAAAATCATATGGTTTATTAGAAGCGATGATTGGTAATGTTAATAAATAAGTACCAATACCTCGGGGAAAAGAGTTCACACAACATATACTCTCGAAGTCTCGGAATAACCACATGACATTAAGAAAAAACATACATTGATCGATCAAGTTCTTGTAAAAGACAACAAACACTAGATTTATTCTAAACGATGTCAATAAGTTGAAATTAAAGCTAGCAAATTAACCACATTTACTAGCAAATAACAACCGCAAAATCTGGGACCCAAACAACAGGAGTATCCCAAGCATAAGAGAAGTTGACATGTTGACCTGGCTTCAAAATATTATTGTTAATAAGAACACATTTATCTCCATTTTTAGAGAAAATAGTTGGATCAACTGGTTCAACAGTTAGCCAATTGTTGCAGTTTCTAAAAGTTATGTTACTTAATGAACAATCTTGGCAGGTGTGTAGCATTGTCACGTTCCATTCTTGTTTCCCTAGTATTTCTCTTTCACTTCTTTCGACTTCATATTGGAGGTTGTTCAAATCACACGTGAATCCTTGTCAATTTTGTAAACAAAGATGTTATCAATAATACAAGTCGCGTTCATGGTAAAAAATTTGTATGTAACTAGATATTTTGAACTATCATGCATTTCTCCAAAGTAGGAAGAGTGAATAAACGAATGTGATGGACCATATATAGTACGAGGACAACTCAATATATGACTGGTATAGTGGTATAGCCGTATAGGCGTATATTCGTGTAGTGAAGAGGGCAACTCAATATATGATTGGTATAGACAACAAAGTATATCATGCAGAGTTATTTTGGTAAATTTAATGACGAAGCTTTTTGAGTATTAAAAATCATAAAATGTTTCTAGTACTTCATCTAAAAATTAGTTTTTACTCCACATAATGTTGTTTCTTCAAATCAATTACATTATCAGCATAATTATTAAATTCAGACAATTAGACGATAAGGTATTCCGTAATTGAAAAAATGGTTCATCCTAAAATTCCATGACCAAAAGCCCAAAAGGTATTTTAAAAAAAAAAAAAAAAAAAAAAAAAAAAAAAAAAAAAAAAAAAAAAACCCAAAAAGAAGCAGAGTTTGTACCTGTATATAGGAGACCCAAAATGAGAATTGCGTAAAACCAAAAATTACCACCTTTTGCCATTGAAAATTTAAGGAGTTCTTCTCGTTATCACAGAATTTATAGGTTAAGAAAATAAGAACTACGTAGTAATTTACAAATAAAGCGAATTTTGGTTTATATTTTATAATGTAACGTTGAAAATGAAAGAGCCAAACTCATTGAGGTTGTATTCCCATTTTAAGAAGATCCTTTGAGCGGGGTTACCTTAATAAATTAGATTAAATACTCAACCAATGAAATAATTAGGATATTTATATTTTTGTAAAAAAAAATGTTAGGATTAGCTTAAATAAAGTATTAAATTCCCTCAATAAATAAATAAATAAATAAAGTATTGAATTCCTAGTGGATTAGTCACTACTCACTAGTGGTTACCATATTTGCATAGTCAAATTTAAAATGATGTTTTGTAAACCAAATGATATATAGCACTGAAACAAACTGTATCAAAGAGGGCAAATTTCTATGATTCAAATCATCTATCTTTGTTAGGAGAGTTATAATTACAATTTTGTTAGATTATCTTTGTTTGGGTCCAATTTACTTCAATTGGGCCGGTCTATAAATGATCTAGTCACAAAGCTCAAAGCAAGGTTCAACTCTCCAAACAATTGTCAAGTCAATCAGGGTCAGTCAACGTGGCAAGCTCACTTGATTTAAGGTCCATTTATCTATTGAGCAAAGGTATAAAAGCCTTCAATCTTTTCTCTCTACATTCATTCAATTCAAGCCTCAAGCAATTGATACTCTTGCATAGCTTTCTTTCTCTAAACACTGTATTGACTTCGGCATCGGAGGGGCCTTCCTCGGCACAATCCCCGAGGCCAGTTTACGTGTGTTTGCTCTGCAGGAAACCCTCAGCCCAGTCATCACTTGGACCGAGATTAGTCTTCAACCCACAGAAAAGGACCTCGCCGAAGGTTCAATTGTTTTTACCCGAAATAATTTGGCACTGTCTGTGGGGAAAGGACATTCAAAAGTAAACCAAAAATCAACCAACCTTAGTAAAAATGACTAAGAGTGGTAAGAGTGCTAAGAATACTAAAAAGAATGGCCCTTCCTCTTCGAGTAAAGGTCCAATTCCGGTGAGGAGGAATCCACTTGCTCCACCATCACCGGAACCTTCTTCTTCTTCTTCAAAAGCTCCTTCTTCCCAGGAAAGGGCAACGCCGGAGAGGTCACCATCCCATCATACTCGCCAACCGACCAGCTCATATCGACCGAGTCAGTTTAATGCTAAGAGTCCCCCTCGAAGTTCCATTCTCGGTCTTAGCCGAGAACAACTCCTCAAACGGGGCCCTCTACGGAGGAAGTGGCACAAGCCGTTGCGGTCTTCATGGACCTCATGAAGGCCCAAGGAGGCAACTTTCCACCATCCCGTGACTACTCGCCTCTTCCGCCGAGAAACTTGAGAAGGAGGACCGGCCAAGTGGAAAGTGGATGAGCTCCATCCTTCAAGGAGCTCGAGGATATATGGGAGGAGGACACTTGGAGGACTGAACGAGAGAGGAAAAAGAACCCTCAGTTCTTCGAAAATTTTGAAACCCAAAACTCCCGAAGCTACAAAAGCAGCAACACCACCTCCGCGTGGCCGAACTCACGAACGTCTCGGGTCAAGGGAGGTGAGCGTACACAGTCGTCTCACCTACCCTGAGGGAACTGAGGCTTGTCCCGGATCGTCCCAGCCGAGGACGAAAACCACTTCAACCTCTCTGAGAAGGAGGAGCGAGGTCATGTTGGCTAGACGTAAGGGAAAGGCCGTGATGGTTCCCTACAGCTCACCCTTCCAATGTTGGATTTTGGAAGAGCATGTGTCAACGGTGAAAATCCCGGCACACATAACTTATGACGGTACTTCGAATCCGAAGAACCACATTGCCTCTTACGAGAGGCACATGTATCTGAACCCCAGGTCCTAAGCGACCTGGTGCAAATATATCCCGACCACTCTTAAAGGTGTTGCACAAGCGTGGATCACCAAGGGAGTAAAGGAAGGCTCGATAACCGGTTGGAAAGACTTTTCCAACAAGTTCAAGAGCAAGTTTTCTACGGCGAACTGCCGAGAGTAGGCAACTGTAGAACTGATGAGTCTGCAGCAAGGGGAGGACGAGACCCTCCGAGACTATCTGACTCGCTTTAGCAATGAGTCATCTAGAATTACAAGTCTGGACTAAGGGCTAGCCGTTTTTGCATTGCAAAACGGGCTGTAAGCTGGAAAGTTCCTTGACTTCATGGTCATGCATCCCCCGCAGACCTTGGAGGAAGCTCTAGATGCCTCGGATAAATACATCCGAGCCGATGATTGGAACAAAACCAAATCCCAGTCTCAAGCCGAGGCTGGTAAGACAAAGGGACAACAGTCCGAAAGCCAGAGCCAGAGGAAAGGGAAGGCGAAAGCCTCAGAACCATCCTCGGCTCCCAAGCTGAAGAAAGAAAAAACCCCATTCGTGGGAAGATACGAATCATATACTCATCACGCCCTTCCATGTGCTAAGATCATTGAACCTTGTCAGTATCCGGAATGGCTAGCCAATGTGGTGATGGTTCAGAAGACAAATGACACTTGGAGAATGTGCGCTGACTTCACGGACCTAAATAAGGCTTGTACGAAGGACTTTTATCCCTTGCCGAGGATCAATCAGCTAATCGACTCGACAAGTGGGCATGCCCTGCTTAGTTTCATGGACGCATTCTCGAGGTATCATCAGATCTTCATGCACCCCGACGATCGAGAAAAAATGGCCTTTGTTACAAGCACCGGCGTGTATAACTACAAAATGATGCCCTTCGGATTATAAAATGCGGGGGCAACATATCAAAGTGTAACACCCTAGAAATTCCTTTCCTTTAAAATACTTATTTTGCCCTTTTAAAATACGAAATAGGAAAATCTAAGACGTTACCGCCACCGTGAAAACGGCTAAGGCAAAATATCAAAGACACACACAGCGAAAAACTATCTTTAAAACCATTCAAAACAAGTCAACTTAAAAAGTCAAACCAAAAGAAATTAAAGTCAAACACAGTCAACCAAAGTCAACCTATAACTTAGAACCATTGTAGGCCCTTAAAACCAAACAATACTGAAAACCCTTACGTTAGTCTCATGAGCACAATAAAATAAATAATATTCAAAGCAAATAAAACACATCATATTCCTATCAGAACTAAGCATGATTCGCTCTTCACTCGTGCCCATCATGAAAATGCTTCATCACCTAAAAAAGCTTTTCTCTACTTGTCCCCACTACTCGCCATTAGAAATGGATCGTCGTAGGGCCAAGGTAAAGACAAGGCCAAACAAACATACAACACACAATCAACAATGCTGAGTACATAAGTGATAAGTGGTTTATTAGACCACTTATTGTGGTGATTTTAACCCAGTTTTGTAATCTTTTCCCCTTTTTCAAACCCCCTTTTGCGTATAAATGTTGTATCTTGGCTTTGCCACCTCTTTTTATGTGTTTGCCCATGATTGCAGGTATAAGACTAGCTTTGAAAAGCAAACAAAGTTCATGGTTCGAGATTAGAGGCAAAATGTGATGGAGGGAGAGGCCGCTCTTGGTGGAGCGGGCGTGCACCTCCCCAGGAGCGGGCGCTTCTGCAAAGTTTACATAATTCTGCCATGTTTCTTAACCTGTGAGGAACGGGCGTGCACTCGAGCTGGAGCGGGCGTTCCTCCAAGGCTTCAACATTCTGTCTTTATTCTGAGAATAGCTGGAGCGGGCGTGTAGTCAGAACGAAGCGGGTGCTCCTAGCTGGTTTGCTAGAATCTGCCTCAACGAGGAGCGGGCACGCATCTTACGAGGAGCGGGCGCTCCTCCCTGGAGTTTTGAATCTGCCAACCTTTGAAGAACAGGGGAGCGGGCGCTCCTGGTTGGAAGAGCGGGCGCTCCTGACTGGGAATCCGGGTTTTGACGAACTTCCCTATGTAATTCGGGGAGTATAAATTCTATCCCTTTAGTTCATTTTTAGGAGGCAGTTTTAGAATAGATTTCAGCAAAATTCCTTTTAGTTAGCACCTTACTTCATTAAATTAGTTGATAATTTAGTTTGGAAACTCTCAAATCTAATCATTGTGGAAGAAAACTTCAAGGTTTATTTTCAGATTTTCAGCATTTATTCAACATTTGAAGCTTCAATAGTAACTTCTTTCACTTGTCTCTACTTATTTTCTGATTTTATTTTTTTATTGCAAGTCACTTGAATCTCTCTTAATCTTGATAAATTGTTGTTGGATGTTAGTTTTATGATTAGTTAATCACTTTCCCCTAATTATTGAACTAGTTAGAACTTTAATCTTGGTTTGCATGTCACTTGAAATGAGTTGTGAGTAGTCCTCTTTACTAGGGGTTAGGTGAAGCTCAACCTAATGGTTAGTTAAGTAAATTTGGGAGAAGTATTGATATTTGATTTGTGATAAAATTGATTGTATGAGATTGCTTGTTAGTTCTTCATGATTGGATTAGCTACCCTTTGATTTAGGAGCTTGATGGCATGTTATGCTTAGTTTGACATGGAAATGTAGATTAAGTATGTCATTACTTATTGCAATTTGATTATGTATCTCTTATTGCTAAACTAATGAGGGATCTAAGTTTAGTGGTGTGAGTTGTTTTCTTAATTTCATGAGGTTGGTCTTACATATAGTCATTGCTATCTCTTGTCTCTTTTACTCCCAATATACCTAATTTCCATGGTTGAGTGGATCCCATTCCCTAGTGCTTTTAATTACTTGATTTAGAACAATAGTTTGTTGTCTACTTGACGAACACCCCTTTCAACAAAAGACTTCGAATTAGCTTGTGTGTTAAGATTTTTAGCAATTATACCCCGTTCCTTATGGACCGAACTCTTACTTATCATTGTGCTTGGTTTGTAAGGTGTTTGCTTATAAATGTGTTTGAATGAGTGTGGAATGTGCGACCGTTCTAACGCCCATCAATAAGAATAATAAAAACACGCTAACATGCTTTCATCCTATCATCACACAACTTACCTTGTTGCACCTGTTTACAAGCGTACAAGACACTCAACACTTAACTAGACAAATACAATTGTCCATTTAATTTTGATTACGTATCGAACGGGTTTCCAACCAAATCCCTACCCCAAATAAATTGAGGTAAACTACACCGGGAGCTAACTGGGTAAGAAAATGTCACATGAAGTGAT